CTCTCTCTCTCTCTCAGTCTGTGGTGGATCTCTCTCTCTCTCTCTCTCTCTTGGTCTGTGGATTCTCTCTCTCTCTCTCTCTCGATCTAGGGTGGACTCTTTCTCTCTCTCTCTCTCTCTATCTCTGTGGACTCTCTCTCTCTGTCTGTGGACTCTCTCTCTCTCTTGGTCCGGACTCTCTCTCTCTCTCTCTCAGTCTGTGGTGGACTCGCTCTCTCTCTCTCTCTCTGTGGACTCTCTCCTCTTGGTCTGTGGACTCTCTATCTCTCTCTCTCTCTCGGTCTGTGGTGGACTCTGTGGACTCTCTCTCTGCCTGTGGACTCTCTCTCTGTCTGTGGACTCTCTCTCTGTCTGTGGACTCTCTCTCTGTCTGTGGACTCTCTCTCTGCCTGTGGACTCTCTCTCTGTCTGTGGACTCTCTCTCTCGGTCTATGGTGGACTCTTTCTCTCTCTCTCTCTGCTCTCTCTCTGTTTTGGTCCTAGACACACGGGGAACAATGGGAAACAATGAACGGGTGAAAGTTACAGAAACAAACTTCTAAAGTAAACTGTAGACGATGTGAACATGTTTGTGTAGTGAGGACGGGGAGAGACGGGGGAGAGACGGGGGAGGGACGGGGGAGAGAGCCAGACTGACGAGCGGATGAGAAGCGCAGATAGCGGAGAGCGATTGGAGGCTCCTGAGAGAGAGCGATACGTGAAGGCAAACAGCAGAGTACTTATCTGTGGAGATAGAGCTGACACCATCAAGACTGAGGCTTTAGACGGAGCTCCACGGCTGCATCATCACACACACACACACACACACCTGGAGCTGTTTTTGGATCCGTCCATGCTGATACTGTATCAAAGGCACGGACGTGGAGCTCCGCCCACTCTGTCTACAAAGCTCCTATTGTGTGATGTCATTGGTTCCACTATGACATCACACTTGTTCCCAGAGTCAGGACTAACCTTGAGTAGGTAGCAGGTGCTCTCTCTCTCTGCTCTCTCTCTTTCTATCTCTCTTTCTCTCTCTCTCTGGTCTCTCTCTCTGGTTTCTCTCTTTCTCTCTCTCTGGTCTCTCTCTCTGGTTTCTCTCTCTCTCCCCCCGGTCTCTCTCTCTGGTCTCTCACTGGTCTCTCTCTGCTCTCTCTCGGGTCTCTCTCTCGGGTCTCTCTCTCTCTGGTCTCTCCTTCTGGTCTCTCCCTCTAGTCTCTCTCTCTGGTCTCTCTCTCGGGTCTCCCTCTCTCTGGTCTCTCCCTCTGGTCTCTCTTTCTCTCTCTCTCTGGTCTCTCTCTCTGGTCTCTCTCTTGCGGGTCTCTCTCTCTGGTCTCTCCCTCTGGTCTCTCTCTCTCTGGTCTCCCTCTGGTCTCTCTCTCTGGTCTCTCTCTCTCTGGTCTCTCTCTCGGCTCTCTCTTGCGGGTCTCTCTCTCTCTCCCTGGTCTCTCATTCTCTCTCTGTATTGCTCTTTCTCTCTCTCTGGTCTCTCTCTCTCTCTGTATCTATCTTTTTCTCTCTCTCTGGTCTCTGGTCTCTCTCTCTCTGCTCTCTCTCTCTCTTGTCTCTGTTGGAACAAACTAAATTTACAGCATATGAACAAACTTAGGTTCCCCAGCTTTAAAGAGTAACACTCCTCTGTCCTCTAGATCCAGCTGCAGTCTCATGATCGTGTGTCCCCCCCCCCCAAAAATCTGCAACAGTCTTCCTGAAAATGTGAGACAGGCTTCTTCTCCGACAATCCAGGATAACAACAGTTCAGTTTCTGCAACAACTGAAGGATTTAAACTTCACTCTTTTTAACGATCTCTGATTTTATGATTGTAACAATTGTAGTGTGTTTCTTTCTCTGTTGTGTGGTTCAGTGCTTTGTGTTGCTGTGTGTATAAAGTGCGCTACACAATTAAACTTCTTGAAGCGACATCACGGCTCAGCGCTCAGAGCAGGCGGTCACTGAGGCGTGAGGCTAAAGAGACGACACTGTCTTTGTGCGTCGTGAGGTATATTTAGCTGCGATGATGGAGCGTGGTACATCTGGTGCGCTGGGCCCCGGGGACGAGACACACACACAGACACACACACTGACACACACACTGACACACACACACACACTGACACACACACACTGACACACACACACACACTGACACACACACAGACACACACACTGACACACACACACACACACACACACACTGACACACACACACACACACACAGACACACACACAGACACACACACAGACACACTGACACACGTTGCGTTGTGTTCATTCTCTCGTTTACAGTCAACACTGTGGTCTGCGGCTGATGAAGTGCGATGTGTCTGAGCGGAAACACAACATAATGTGATGCTTAATTAATTGTGGATGTTTGGAGACGCCCTGTAGGGGTGAGAGAGAGAGGGGAGGGGTGGGGGAGAGAGGGGAGGGGAGGGGGTGGGTGAGAGAGAGGAGGGGTGGGGGAGGGAGGGGAGGGGTGGGGGGGAGAGAGAGGGGAGGGGGTGGGTGAGAGAGAGGAGGGGTGGGGGGAGAGGAGGGGGGGGGGGAGGGGAGGGGTGGGGGGGAGAGAGAGGGGAGGGGTGGGGGAGAGAGAGAGGGGGGGGGGGGGGGGGGGGGGGTGAGAGAGAGGAGGGGTGGTGGAGGGAGGGGAGGGGTGGGAGAGAGAGGAGGGGTGGGGGAGAGAGAAGAGGGGTGGGGGAGAGAGGGGAGGGAAGTGGGAGAGAGGGGAGGGGTGGGGGGGAGAGAGGGGGGAGAGGAGGGGTGGGGGAGAGAGAGGTGGGGTGAAAGAGAGAGGGGAGGGGTGTGGGAGACAGGGGAGGGGTGAGAGAGACCAGAGAGAGAGAGCAGAGAGAGACCAGAGAGAGACAAAGAAAATATTGATTCATTTCATGTGGATTGTTCCAGGAGCTAAACCAGCTCCGAGCTCGGACTAGAATCTGGACTTTTGACACTTATAGTTTACCAGGAACCATTCTTGAACTTCCTTCGACCACAAAATGATTGACGTCACATGGTTTAAAACTATCGTGTGGATATTGAAACTTATCATTCACATCTCGTCGCTGGTAATTCCACTGTTTTATTCCAAACGTTCATGTCTGGTATCTGCTGATGAAATACCATGAAACCAAACCAGTAAATCCATCCACCGACACATGGTACAGAGAGGAGAATGTGGACCAGAGACACATGGTACAGAGAGGAGAACGTGGACCAGAGACACATGGTACAGAGAGGAGCATGTGGACCAGAAACACATGGTAGAGAGGAGAATGTGGACCAGAGACACATGGGACAGAGAGGATAATATGGACCAGAGACACAAGCGACAGAGAGGAGCATGTGGACCAGAGACACATGGTACAGAGAGTAGAATGTGGACCAGAGACACATGGTACAGAGAGTAGAATGTGGACCAGAGACACATGGGACAGAGAGGAGAATGTGCACCAGAGACACATGGTACAGAGAGGAGAATGTGGACCAGAGACACATGGTACAGAGAGGAGCATATGGACCAGAGACACATGGTACAGAGAGGAGACTGTGGACCAGAGACACATGGTACAGAGAGGAGAATGAGGACCAGAGACACATGGTGCAGAGAGGAGACTGTGCACCAGAGACACATGGTACAGAGAGGAGACTGTGGACCAGAGACACATGGTACAGAGAGGAGACTGTGGACCAGAGACACATGGTACAGAGAGGATAATGTGGACCAGAGACACATGGTACAGAGAGGAGCATATGGACCAGAGACACATGGTACAGAGAGGAGAATGTGGACCAGAGACACATGGTACAGAGAGGAGCATATGGACCAGAGACACATGGTACAGAGAGGAGAATGTGGACCAGAGACACATGGTACAGAGAGGAGCATATGGACCAGAGACACATGGTACAGAGAGGAGACTGTGGACCAGAGACACATGGTACCATAGACAAAGACCATAATGATGTTTGTGTTTTAGAAGAGGACGCGACACAGACAGTGCTGTTTAAATGTCGGTCCACTTTACCTCAGACCCTCGACCTCGGCTCGCTCTGTGGTTATTACATGGAAATATAAAGGCCATAATCACAGTGTCTCTGTGAGGGTTTCTCACTCTGTGGGAGCGTGTTTGCCTCTGGTCTCTCTTACTTTCTAGTCTCTCTTTGCTCTCCCCAGTTTCTCTTTGGTTTTTCTCTCTAGTCTTCCCCTGATCTACCGCTTGTCTCTCTCTCTGGTCTCTTTCTCTTCTCTCTTTCTCTCTGCATGGTCTCTCTCTCTCTAGTCTCTTGTGTCTCTCTATAGTCTCTCTTGTCTTTCTCTGGTATCTCACTCTGGTATCTCTCTGGCCTTTCTTTGGTCTCTTTCTGGTTTCCCTCTTGTATCTCTCTCTGGTCTCTCTTTGGTATCTCTCTTGTCTCTCTGTTTTTTTCTCTAATCCGTCTCTACTCTCTCACTGGTCCCTCTCTCCAATCTCTCTTTCTGCTCAGTCTCTCTCACTCTGCTGGCTCTTTCCTGTCTCCCTCCTTGTCTGTTTTCTCTTTCTGCTCTCTTTCTGGTCTCTACTTCAATGAGGTTTTCAGCCACACACACACACACACACACACACACACACACACACACACACACACACACACACACACACACACACACACACACACACACACACACACACACACACACACACACACACACACACACACACACACACACACACACACACACACACACACACACACACACACACACACACACACACACACACACACACACACACACACACACACACACACACACACACACACACACACACACACACACACACACACACACACACACACACACACACACACACACACACTTGAGGGGTTTGTTTTGATTTTTTTTGTTGGAGTGTTGTGTTATGTGTTATTGGGGTTGGTGGGGTGGGGTGTTGGGGATGTTGTGTTTTGTGGTGGTTTTGTGTGTGTGAGTATGGTGTTGGTGGGGTTTTTGTGGGGTTTGTTGGATGTTGTTGTTTTGGTATGTTTGTTGTGTGGGGGGTGTATGGTTGGGTAGGTTTGGGGTGTGGGGGTTGGTGTGGGGTGGTGGGGTGGGGTGTTGTGTTGGGTGTGGGGTTGGGGTGGGTGGGGGGGGGGGGGGGGGGGGGGGGGGTTTGTGTGGATGTGGGGGGGGGGGTGGGTGTTGGGGGTGGGGGGGTTGTGTTTGGGTGTTGGTGGGGGTTGTGGGGGTGGGTTTTGGATGTTTTGGTTGATTGTGTGTTTTGGTGGGGATGGGGAATTGGTGGTTGGGGTTTTGGGGGGTGGTGTTGGTTTTGTGGTTGGATTGGGTGGGGTGGGGTGGGGGGGGGGGGTGTGTTGTGTGGGGGGTGGGGTTTGGGGTGTGGTGGGGTTGGTGGGGTTTTTGGTGTAGGGTGGGTGGGTGGTGGGTTTGGGTGAGTGTTGGTTTTGGGTTTGGGGTTGGGTTGTTGGGTGGGTGGATGTTTATGGTTTGGTGTTGTTTTGGGGGTGGGGTTGGGTGGGTGGGGGTGGGGGGTGTTGGTGGGGTGGGTTTGTTTTGGTGGGTGGGTGTGTGGTTGGTGGTGTGGGGGGGGGGGGGGGGGGTGGGGTGGGGGGGGGTGGGGGGGGTTTGGGGGGTGGTGGGGGTGGTGTTTGGGTTTTTTGGTGGTGTTTGTTGGTGTTGTGGTTGGGTGGGGGGGGGGTGGGGGGGGGGGTGGGGGGGTGGGGTGGGTGGGGTGGGGGGGGTGTTGTGGGGTGGTGTGGGGGTTGTTGGGTGGGTTTTTGTGGTTGGGGTGGTTGGGGGGGGGTGGGGTGGGTTTTTGTGGTGGGGTTGTGGGGGTGTTTGGTGTTGGTTGTGTGTGGTGTGGGGGGTGGTGTGGGGTTGTTTGTGTGTGTGGGTGTGTGTGTTTGGTGTGGGTGGGGGTGGTGGGGGGGGTTTGGGGGGTGGTTGGGGTGTGGGTTGGGTGTGGGGGTGGGTTTTGGTGTGTTGTGGTGGGTGGTTTTTTGGTGGGTTTGGTTGGTGTGTGTGGTGGTGGTGGGGGGGGTGGGGGGGGGGTTGTGTTTGGGGGTTGGGGTGGTGGGGGTGTGGGTTTGGTTGTGGGGGTGGGGGGTGGGGGGGGGTGGGTGTTTGGGGGGTTGTGGGGGTGGGGTGTTGGGGGTTGGGGGGTTGGGGGGTTGGGTGTTGGGGGGTGGGGGTTGTGGGGTTGGGGGGTGGGGGTTGGGGTTGGGGGTTGGGGGGGGGGGTGGTGGGGGGTTGGGGGGTTGGGGGTTGGGGTTGGGGGGTTGGGGGTGGGGTTGGGGGTTGGGGGTTGGGGGGTTGGGTGGGTTGGGGGGTGGGGGTTGGGGGGTTGGGGGTTTTTGGGGGGGTTGGGGGGGTGGGGGGTTGGGGGGTTGGGGGTTGGGGGGTTTGGGGGGGTTGGGGGGTTGGGGGGTTGGGGGGTGGGGGTGTGTGTGGTGGTGTGTGGGTTTTGGTTGTGTGTGTGGTTTGTTTGGTTGGGTTGTGTTGTGTGGTGTGGTGGTTGGGTGTGGGTGTGGGGTGGGGGGTTTGTTGGGTTGTGGTGTGTGTTTTGGGGGTTGTTTTGTGTGTGGGGTGGTGGGTGTGGGTTGGGGTGGGGGGGGGGGGGGTTGTGGGGGTGGTGTGGTGTTGGGTGGGGTGGGGGGGTTTTGGTGGGGGGGTGGTTGGTGTGGGTGGGGGGGTGGGTGTTGGGTTGGTGTTTGTGTGGTGGGGTTTGGTGGTGGGTTTTGGTGTGGGGTTTGGTGGTGGTTTGGTGGTGGGGTTGGAGTGGGTTTGGTGGTGGGGTTTGGTTGGGGGTGGGTTTGGTGTGGGGTTGGTGTGGTTGGTGGTTGGGTTTGGTGGTGGGGTTTGGGTGGGTGGGGTTTGGTGTGGGGTTGGTTGGTGGGTGGTGGTGGGGTTTGGTTTGTGGGGTATTTTGTTGGTGTTGGGGTGGGTGGGGTTTGTTGGGGGGGGTGGGGTTTGTGGGGTGGGGGTTGGTTGGTTGTGTGGGTGGGGTTTGGTGGGTGGGGGGGGGGGGTTGGGGGTGGGGGGGGGGGGGGTGTGTGGGGGGTGTGTTGGGTTGGGGGTGGGGGGTGGGTGGGTGGTGGTGTTTTTTGGTGGTTTTGTGTGGGGGTTGGAGGGGGGGTGTGGTGTTGTGTTGGTGGTTGGGTGTGGTGTGTGGGGTGGTGGGGTGGTGGGTGGTGGTGGGGGGTGGGTGTGTGGGGGGTTTGGTGTGAGTGTTGTGGGTTTGTGTTGTTTGTGTTTGTTATGTTTTTTGGGGTTTTTGGGGGGTGTTTGGGGGGTGGGTGGGGTTGGTGGTTGTTGGGTTGGGGGGGGGTGGGTTTGGGTGTTGGTTTTGGGGTTGGTGGGGTGTTGGTGGGGGGGTTGGTGGGGGGTGTGTGGGGGGGGGTTTGGTGGTGTGGTGGGGTGTGGGGTGGGGGGTGTGGTTTGTTGGGGGGGTGTTTGGGGTGGGGGGGGGTTTGGGGGGGGGTTGGGGTGGTGTTGGGGGGTGTGTGGTGTGGTGTGGGGTGGGGGGGGGGGGTGTTTGGGTGGGGGGGGTGGGGGGGTGGGTGGGGGTTGGGTGGGGGGGGGGGGTGGGGTGGTGGGGGGGTGTGGGGGTTGGGGGGGTTGTGGGTGGGGTGGGTTGTGGTGGGGGTGGTGGTGGTGGTGTGGGGGTGGGGGGTTTGGGGTGTGTGTGGTTGGTTTTGGGTGTGGGGTGGGGGTGTGGGTGGTTTGTGTTTGGGGTGGGGGGGGGGGGTTGGTTGGTTGTTGGGGTGGTTTTGGGGGTTGGGTGGTGTTTGGGTTTTTGGTGTGGTGTTGTTTGGGGGGGGTGGGGGGTGGGGGGTTGTTGGGTGGGGTGGTTTTTTGGGTGTTGGGTGGTTGTGTGGTGTTGTGGGTGGGGTGGGGGTGGGGGGGGGGGGGTGGGGTGGTGGTGGGGTGTGGGTGGGGGGGTGGGGTGGGGGGGGGGGGGGGGGGTGGGGGGTGGGGGGGGGTGGGGGGGTGGTTGGGGGGGGGTGTGTTTTGGGTTGGTTGTTGGGGTGTATTGAATGTTGGATTGGGTTGGGGGGGTTGGGGGGTTGGGGGGTGGGGGTGGGTGGGGGTGTTGGGGGGGTGGGTGTTGGGGGGTTTTTGTGGGGGGGTGTGGGTGGGGGGGGTTGGGGGTGGGGGTGGGGGTTGTTGTGGTTTGGGGTGGGGGGGGGGGGGTTGGGGGGTGGGGGGGGGGTTTGGTGGGGGGGTGGTTGGGTGTTGGTGGGGGGGGGGGGGGGTGGTGTGTGGGTGTTGGGGTTTTTTTTTAGGGTGGGTGTGTTGGTGGGGTTTGGGGTTGTGTTGTTTGGGTTTGGGTGTGGTGGGGGTTGGTGTGGTGTGGGGGGGTGGGTGGGGGTGGGGTTGGGTTTGGGTGGGGTGGGGTGGGTTGGGGGGGGGGGGGGTGGTGGTTGGTGTTGGTGGTTGTGGGGGGGGTGTTTAATGGGGGGTGGTGGGGGTTGGTGGGGGGGGGGGTTGGTGGGTGGGTGTGGTTGTTGGTTGGGGTTGGGGGGTTGGTTTGGGTGTGGGGGTTTGGGGTGGTTTTTGTTTGTGGGGGGGTGGGTGGTGTGGGGTGTGTTGTGGTGTGGTTGTGTGGTTGTGTTGGGGGGGGGGGGTTTGTGGGGGGGTGGGGTGGGTGTTGTTGGGTGGGGGTGGTGGGTGTGGTTTGGGGGGGGTGTGGGGGGTGGGGGGGTGTGTGTGTGGAGTGGGGGGTGGGGGGGGGGTGGGGGGGGGGTTGGTGGGGGGTGGTGTGGGTGTGGGTTTGGGGGGGGGGGGGTGGTGGTTTGGGGTGGGTGGGTTTTTTTTTGTTGGGTGGTGGTGTGGTGGGGGGTGGGGGGGTGGGTGGTTGGTTGGGGTGTGTGGGGGTGTGGGGGTGGTGGGTGGGGGGGTTGTAGGGGTGTGTGTGGTGGTGTGTTGGGGTTTTGGGGGGGGGGGGTGGGGTGGGGTTGGGGGTGGGGGTTGGGGGGTGGGGGGGGGGGGTTTGTTGGTTGTTGGGTGTGTTGGGTGGGGGGGTGTGGTGGGTGTTTGGGTTGTTGGGGTTTTTGGTGGGTGGGGGGGGGTGTGGTTTTGTGTTTTTGGGTGTGGTTTTTTGTTGTGTGGGGTGGGTGTGGGTGGTTGGGGTGGTGTGGTGGTTGTGTGGTGTGTGTTGGGGGGGGGGGGGGGGGTTTGTGGGGGGGGTGGGGTGGGTTTGTTGGGGTGGGGGGGGTGGTGTGGGGTGGTTGGGGGGGGGTGGGGGGTGGGGGGGGTTGGGGTTTGGGGGGGTGTGTTGTGGTGGGTGTGTGTTTTGGGGGTTGGGTGGTGGGTGTGTGTTGGGGGTGGGTTTGGTGTGTGGGTGGGTGGGGGGGGTGGTGGGGGGGTGTGTGGGTGGTGGGGGGGTGGGGTGGTGGGGGGGTGTGGGGTGGTGTGTGTTTGTGGGGGTTGGTGGGGGTGTGTGGGGGGGGGTTGGTGGGGGGGGGGGGGTGTTTTTGTGGGGTGGGGGGGGGGGGGGGGGGGGGGGGGGTTGGTGGGGGTGGTTGTGGGTGTGGGGTTTTTGGGGGGGGGGTGGGTTGGGGGGGGGGGGTGGGTGGGGGGGGGGTTGGGGGGTGGGGGTGGTTGGGGTGGGGTTGGTGTGGGTGGGGTGGGGGGGGGTGGGTGGGAGTGGTGTGGTGTGTGGGTGGTTGATTATTTTTTTGGTGGGGGGTGGTTTTTGGGTGTGGGGGGGTGGGGGTGGGGGGGTGTGGGGTTTGTGTTGGGGGGGGGGTGTGGTGATGTGTGGTTTGGTGGTGGGGGGGGTTGGTGGGGGGGGGGGGGGGGGGGTGGGGGGGGTGGGGGTGTTTGGGGTGTGGGTGGGTGTGGGGGGGGGGTGGGGGGGGGGTGGGTGGTGTGTGTGTGGTTAGGGTGGTTTGTGGGGTTGGGGGGGGGTGGGGTGGGTTGTTGTGTTGTTGGGGGGGGGGGAGGGGGGGGGGGGGGGGGGGTTGGGTGTGGGTGGGGGGGGGGGTGGTGTGTGGTGTGTTTGGTTTTGTTGGGGTGTGTAGTGGGGTTGGGGTTGGGTTGGAGGTGGGGTTGGGGGTTTGGGTTGTTTGTGTGGTTGGGGGGGGTGTTGTGTTGGTGTTTTTGTGTGTTGTGGGGGGGGTTTTTGTGGGGTTGTTTGGTTGGTGGTGTGGATTGGGGTGTGTTGGGTGTGGTTGGGGGTGTGGGTTGGGGTTTGGTGGGGGTTGGTGGGGGTGGGGTGGGGGGGGTGGGTGGGGTTTTGTGGTTGTTTTTTTTTTGGGGGGTGTGGGTGGTTGTGTTTTGGTGGGGTGGGTTTTTTTTGTGGGGGGTGGTGGGGGGGGGGGGGTTGAGGGTGGGGGGGGGGGGGGGGGGGGGTGGGGTGTGGGGTGGTGGGTGGGGTTGGGGTGGGGGGGGGTGGTGGGAGGTGGGGGGGGTGGGGGGGGGGGGGGTGGGTGTTGGTGGGGGGGGGGGTGGGTGGGTGTGGTGGGGGGGGGGTGGTGGGGGGGGTGGGGGGTGTTGTGGTTGGTGGTGGTGTGTGGTTTTGTTGTTGGTGGTGTTGTTGGTGGTTGGTTGTGGTTGGGTGTTGTTGTTGTTGGGGTGGTGTTGTGGTTTGGTGTGGTGTTGTTGTGTTTTTTTGTGGTTGGAGTGGTGATGTTGGGGGTGTGTTGTGGATGGTTGTTTTTTGTGGTTGTGGTGTTGTTGTTGGTTTGGGGTTTTTTGTTGTTGTGTGGTGTTTGTTGTTGGTGTTGTGGTTGGTTGGTGTTGTGGTTGGTGTTTATGTTGTTATGGGGTTTTTTGTGGTTGTTGTAGGAGTGGTTGGGGGGTTTGTTGTGGTTGGGGAGTTTTTGTGGTAGGGGGGTTTTTTTTTGTTGGGTGTTGTTGTGGTGGGGGGTTTGTTTTGGGTTGGGGGGGGGGGGTGGATAGGGGGTGGGGGGGTGTGTGTGGGGGTTTTTTGTTGGGGGGGTTGGGGGTGTGGTGTGGGGGGGGTGGGTTGGGTGGTGGGGGGTTGGGGTGTGGGGGTTTGGTGGTGTGGTTGTGTGTTTGGTTGTGTGGTGGTGTGTTGTTGGTTTGTGGTGTTGGTGGGTGTGGTGTGGTGGTGGTTGTGTGGGTGGGTGGTGTGGGTTGGTGGGGGGGGTTGGGGGGGGTTGGGTGGGGTGTGTGTTGGGGTGTGTGTGGTGTGTGTTGGTGTGTGTGTGGTGGTGTTGGTGTTGTGGTTTGTGTTGAGTGTGTGGTTTGTGTGTGGTGGTGTGTGGGGTGTGTGTGTGTGTGTGTTGGTTGTGTTGTGTGTGTGGGGTGGGGTGTGGTGTGTGTGTGTGTGTGGTGTGGTGTGTGTGTGTGTTGGTGTTTTGTGTGTGTGGTGTGGTGTGGTGTTGTGTGTGTGTTGGTTTTGGTGTTGTGTTGTGGTTTGTGTGTGGTTGTGTGTGTGTGTGTGGTTTGTGGTGTGTGTGGGTGTGTGGTGGTGTGTGGTGGTGAGTTGTGGGGTGTGTTTGGTGTTGTGTGTGTGTTGTGTGTGTGGTGTGTGTGGTGTGTGTGGTGTGTGTGGTTTTGTGGTGATGGGTGTGTGTGGGGTGGGGGGGGGGTGGGGGGGTTGTGGGGGGGGTTTGGGTGGGGGGTTGGGATTGGGGTTTTGGGTTGTGGTTGGGTGGTGGGGTGTGGGGGGGGGGTGTGGGTGGGTGGGTGGTGGTTGGGGGTGGGTGGGGGTGGGTGGGGGGTTGGGGTGTTGGTGGGTGGTTGGGGGGGGGGGGGGGGTGGTGGTGGGGGGTGGGTGGGTTGGGTGGGGGGTTGGTGGTGGGTGGGGGGTTGTGGGGGGTTGTTGGGTGGGGGGGGTGTGGGGGGGGGTTGGGGGGGGAGGGTTTGTGGGGGGGGGTTGTGGGGGGGGGTGTGTGGGTTGGGGGGGGGGGGTGTGGTTGTGTGTGTGTGGTGTGTGTGGTGTGTGTGTTTGTTGTGTGTGTTGTTGTTTGTGTGTGTGTGTGTTGGTGTGTGTGGTGTGTTTTGGTGTGGGGGGGGTTGGGTTTGGGGTGTTGGTGGGGTTGGTGGGTGGGGGTGGGGGGGGGTGGTGGTGGGGGGGGTGGGGTGGTGGGTGTTGGTGTGTGGGGGGGGGTGTGGGGGGGGGGGGGGGGTGTGGGTGGGGTGGGGGGGGGGGGGGGTGGTGGGGGGGGTTAGGTGTTGGGTTTGGTTGGGGTGTGGGTGGGGGGTGTGTTGGTTGTTGTTTGTTGTTGGGTTGGTTTGTTTGGTTGGTGGGGGGTGGGGTTTGGTGTTTGTGTTTGGTGTTGTTGTGGTTGTTGTGGGTGTGGGTGGGTGTTGGGGGTTGGGGGGGGGGTGTTGGGGGTGTGTTTGGGGGTGGTTTGTGGGGGTTTTTGTTGGGGTGTGGGTTGGGTGTGTTGTGTAGGGGTGGTGGGGGTGGGGGGGTGTTTGGGGGGTGGGGTTGTGTTTGGGGGGGTGTGGTTGTTGTTTGGTTGTTGGGGGGGTGTGGGTTGGGGGGGGGGGGTGGTTGGGGGTGGGGGGGGTGTGGGGGTTGGTGTGTTTGGGGGGTGTGTGTGGTTGGGTGGGTTGTGGGTGGGTTTGTGTTGGTTGTGGTGTGGTGGGGGGGTAGAGTATTGGTTATAGTGGGGTGGATGGGTGTGGGATGGTGATGGGTGGTTGTTGGGGGTAGGTGGGAATTGTAGATAGTGGTGTGGGGGTGTTGGGTGGGGTGGGGGTGGGTGTGGGGGGGGGGGGGGTAGGTGTGGGGTTGTTTTTTGTGGGTGGGTGGTTGTGGTGAGTGGGGGGGGTTTTGGGGGTGGTTTTTGGGGGGTGTGGTGGGGGGGTGGTTGGGTTTTTTTGGTGGGTGTTGTTTATTAGTTTGTTTTGTGTGTTGGTGTGTGTTGGGTTTTTATTGGTTTGTGGTGGGGGTTTGGGGGGGTGGGGGGTGGGGGTGTGTGTGTGGGGTTGTGGGGTGGATTGGGTTGGGGGGGTGGGGGGTTTGGTGGTTGGAGGGGGGGGTGGGTTGTTGTGGGGGGTTGTGTGGTTTGTGGTTGGGGTGTTTTGGGGGGGTTTGTGAGGGGTGTGGTGTTGGGTGTGGTGGGGTGGGGTGTGTGGGGGGGGTGTGGTGGTGGGTGTGGGTTGTGGGGGGTGGGGTTGTGTGTGTAGTTGTGGTGTGGTGGGTTGGGGGGGGGGGTTTGGGGGGGTGGTTGGTTGTTGTGGGGGGGTGTTTTGTTTGTTGTGGAGTTGGGGTTTTTTGTGGGGGGGGGGGTGGGTGGTGTTTGGTGTTGGGGGGGGTGTGGGTGGGGTTGGTGTGGTGGGTGGGGTTGGGGGGGGGTTTGGGGTGGGGGGGGGTGTGGTGGGGTTGTTTGGTTGGTGGTGGTGGGTGTGGGGGGTGTGTGTTGGTGGTGGTGGTGGGGGGGGGGGGGGGTTGGGGGGGGTTGTGGTGGGGGTGGGGTGGGGGGGTGTGTGTGTGGTGGGTGTTGGTTGGTTATTGGTTTTTTGGTTGTTGTGTTGTGGGTGGTGGGGAGTGTGTGTTGGGGGGGGGTGGGGGGGGGGTGGTGTTGTGGTTTGGTGGGGGGGGGGGGGTGTGGGGGGTGGTTGTTTGGTGTTTGTTTTGGTTGGGTGTGTGTTGTTGAGAAAGAGGGTAGGGTGGGAAGGGGTGGTGGAATGATGGTATGTGGTGTGGAGGGTAGTTGTGGGGGATTTAAAGTTGTTTGTAATTAGAGTATTGTGAGTTTAGGATGGGGGGTAGAGGGGGGGGGTGATGGGGGGATTGAGGGGGGTTTTTGGGGGTGGGGATTTTGAATTGGGTATGTAGGGGAAGTTGGTTGTTTATGTGATGGAGTATGGGAGATATGGGGGGTTGGATATTAGGGTTTTATGGGGGGAGATGGGGTGTAATTTTGGGGGTGTGTTTGTTTGGGGTAGGGGGAGGGGTTGTTGGTGTGGGGGGTGTGGGAGGGGGGGGGGGGGTGGTGTTGTGTTGGGTATTGTGAGGTATATATTTAGGGTTTTTTTTGTGGTGGGGGATTTTTTTTGTTGTGTGTTTGTGGTGGGTGGTGTTTGGTTTGGGTTTGGGGTGGTAGTGGTATGGTGGGTTGTTTAATGGGTGGGTTGTTTGTGTGGTTTTGGGTTTTGGTGTTGGGGTTTGGTGTTTGTGTGTTTGAGTTTTTGGTTGGTTTTTTGTTTTTGGGGGTAGGTGGTTGGGTTTGTGATTGGGGGTGGTGGGGGGGTGTTTGGTTGGTGGGTGGGGTGTGGGTTGTGTTGTTGGTGGGTTGTTGGGGGGGTTGGTGGGGTGGGGTGTTGTGGTGTGGGGGGGGGGTATTTGTTTTATTGGGGGTGGGGGTGGGGGAGGAGGGGAGGGGTGGGTTGGTTGGTGATGTGTGTTGGAGGTGGGTGGGTGGGTGTGGTGTTGGTGGATGGTGTTTGGAGGATTGGTTTTTTAGGGGGGTGGTTTTGGGTGGGGGGGTTTGGGGGGGGGTTGTTGTTGGGTTGGGTTTGGGGGGGGGGGGTGTGGGGGGGGGGGGGGTGTGTTTGTGGGTGGGGGGGTTGGGGGTTTGGTGTGGTGGTGGTTGGGGGTGGGTGTAGGTGTTGGTGTTGGATGGGGTTTGTGTTGTGTTGTTGTTGTGTTGTTTGTTGGGGGTTGTGTTGGGGTGGGGTGGTGTGGGTGGGTGGTGGGGTGGGTGTGGTGTTTTTGTGGGTGGGGTGGTGTGGTTGGAGGGGGGGGG